TCGGCCCGGCGGCCGGCGCATGGACGCGGCCGCACTCCTGTGGGCGCGGGTGAGCCGGGCTGTGGGCGGCGGGGACCCGGCCTCGAGGACACTCCCGGACCCTACCCCTTACTAGGATGGGCTCTATATGGGATGGTGGCTCCTTGGCGGGCTGGGTGGGAAGCCCCGCTGAGGTCCGGGAGCTGTGCGCCCTCACCACACCCTACCACGGGTTCCTGGGGTCCCCAGCCCATCCACGAGCAACCTTACCTGTTGTGACAGCGCAAAGCCCTAAACTGCGACCCCTGACTCCTAGTGTCACACAGGGTCCCATTTAGGTCTCTTCTGAAGCCAGATGCACTCCCCCTCCATCACTCGAGGGTGGAGCCTCTGTGAACCTCTCTGTGCCTTCTTTTTTCCCCTGGGGTTCAAGTGTTCCCAATTATTAGTTGAGAAAAACCTGTGTTACTGGAGGGTGGGTGCTGGCCAGGGTCCAGAAGGTTCCACGCCCTTCTGGCCCATGTCCTCGTCTGGCAAACAGGGACAAAAATGGGTCTTGAAAAACAGGCCAGTTCTGGGAGCAGCAGAATGCTTAGGATACTGCTAGAGGAGGCTGGGAGAGGAGGGCCTGTCAGAGAACTGTCCAGACCTTAGTCGGGTCCATAAGCATGAGGATGTGGTGGCTTGACTGAGTGCCTGGACCCACGGTGGTGAGGCAAGGTGAGCTCTGTCATCTGCTTTTACTGGGAGCTGCTGGGCTAGGGGATGTAGGTGGCTGGGGAGTCCATGAGCCTTGGGTCAGGTCTGCTAGAGTTCTGGAGAAGCCCCCTCCTTGTTCTCTGGACCTCTCAGTCTCATGAAGTGATGTCAAGGGAAGGGCTCCTTTTGGGGGGGGGGCAGCCACCATGTGGTTGAGCATGCTGTGTGCATGTTCCTTTGCCCTCACTTGGGAGTGTGGCCCAGATTGCAGTGGACTGTACAGCGAATTGTAAGATGCAGTCCAGCCTGGAGACACCGCTGCCTGGATCCCTGACCTTCATCCCCTCAGGCCTGGGGTGAGCATTGTAGTTGGTTCAGGCTTTCTTGGCCCAGAAGACCAGCTTGTAACCATGGGTAGCAGAAGTAGACCATGACTGTTGCTCTTAGGGCTTCACAGCCCCTCCCCTCTACTGCAGTGGATAGGTGCAGTCAGCTCTACAAGAGCCTGCCAGTGTTCTCTGGCTTCCTGGGGGCCTTCTCTTTTCTTCTGTACACACGAGGGCATTGCAGTGTGCACACATGGGATGCCCCTCCCAGGAGGCCCAGGTGTTTGTGTCATAGCATGTAACTCTCCTTGCTTCTACTCGGCCTAGTCGTGGCTCTGCATGCGTAGGGCTGGCCAAAGCAGGCCCCACAAGGTGCCCCCCACAAGGGGCCCCCCACAAGGCGTGCTGCCAAACGTATGGCAAGGATGAGCTGCGAGTTGAGGCACTGACCTGGCCTGGAGTGCTGAGCTGTTACCAGATATAGAAGGTGGTGAGTGAGGAGCCTGTGCTGCCTGGAACAGCTGAGCCTTGGACGGTGGGGCCTGTGCTCACGGCTTGAGGCAAGAGTCTAGGGGCCTAGGCTAGGCCCTTCCTGCAGCCAGGCTGAACATTCCAGGGCCTGCTTTGCCTGGTGGGCAGCTGGAGAAGTGGGTGCCGGGGCAGAGGGAAGAGGTATGGGCAGAATTCTTCCAGGTGGGGGTCCTGGAGGGGTAGAAGAATGATGGGTGGGGTGTGAGCTGGACCCGGGGACTCAGGCTCCACACTGGGTCATAGCCCAAGGGATTGTGGTGCCATCTTGTTCAGCCCCTCACTGTGTAGGTGGGAACCATGTCCTGAGATGCCTGTGATGTGCCCAGGGTCTCCCAGGCCCTCCAGAGAGTGACAGGGGCCTAGCTGCTCTTTTGGGCCCTTGTAGCTAGTACATTTGGAGAGGGAAAGGATGGGATGGAAGGGCTGATGCCCTCCAATTGCGTCCTTCCCCCGGTCCCTGCTACAGTGTGACCCCCTTCCTGGCTACCTATTTTGTCATTTCCTTGGCATGAGCCTGGCAGCTGGCCTTGTGGACTGTGGTATCTTGCATGGCAGAATATCTTGTTTACCTCTAGTGCCTGGCAAGTCCCAGAAAGGGGTGGCTGTGGGTGGAGATTACAGGAAGCCTAAGGGGCAACAATTGAGGCCACTCATCCCCTGTTCCTCTGGCAGTACCCATTGTCCCCGAGACCTACCCTTGCAGAACGATCTGAACTTGTACATTGTGCTGTGGCTTGCAGTCCCAAGAGAAGGGCCCTGTCCTCATGGGCTGTGAGATGGGGGACCAGGCTTGGTGGCCTGGTTTCTGTTGCTGTGGGTGTACGCTTGTGGGGTTCTCATTGCTCCTGGGGTGAGCCCTGATACCCTCTTCACCCTGTCTCGGTGTCTGTGTGTGGTTCTCACCCCAGGGGCCTAGGCAGCCCTGGTAGAAGCTGTCTGTTCTGTGTTTTCACATGGAGAATCTGAGACCCAACAGGAACCTCCCATTTCTTTCTCCCCTCCCATAGACTGTGCCTTCTGAAGACCAGTGTGTGATTGATGGAGGGACTCCAGGAAGGCAGCTCTAACTACTGCCGTTCCCAACATCGTGGGTGCTGCTGCTGAGGAGGCCCGTGCCTCTGTGGCCCTCACCATTGCCCTTGCCTCCCAATGGCCTCTGCTGCCAGGCCAGAGGCCAGCACTGCTGCCTGAGCCCGCTGCCCCTCTCCAGGACTTGCCGTTCCCTGATGGGGTAACGTGACAGACGCCCCGGATCACAGGCTGCCTGCCCACCACAGCCCAGGGCCGCCAGAGTTGGTTAAGTTCAAGTTCATTTTCTGTTTGGTCCTGAGTGCTGGGTCCAGACCAGAGGGAACTCTCCTCTACCCACCCATGCAGAGAGGGTGTCCCCAGCGACGGCCCCATAGAGGACAGTGTTCTGCGGCCAGAGTTACCAACTTGAAGTTCTCTTTGCTCAGTTTTTTTGGTTGTTGTTATTTTTATTTTTGCCTCCTTGTAACTACTCCACTCTGAGAGACAGGACTTTGAAGCTGCCCATTTTACTGGGGGAGGGGGTTTTCTTTCTTTTCCTTTTCTTTTTTAGAATTGGGTTTTGTCTTGGAATTATCAAGCACCAGGCAGCTTTCCTCTCCTCCTCCCAAGTATTTGCACAATATTTGTGCGGGGTGTGGGGACGAGGTTTTAAGAAGGTCTTTTCTTTTTTTGGACAAGCACGGGGATCTCACTGGACTTGGTGTGGGGGGTTGGGGGACCCCCCGTGCAGCCCTTGCTGGCTGGTCCTCTCTGGGTTCCCGGAGGAGGCATGGCTCGCATGAACCGGCCCGCGCCTGTGGAGGTGAGCTACCGAAACATGCGCTTCCTCATCACGCACAACCCCAGCAATGCCACCCTCAGCACTTTCATCCAGGTGAGTGGGCTACCGGGGCTGGGTGGGTGTCCTGGGTGGCTTACGGTATGATGGGTGCTGGTGATCTGCTGGGTTTCCTGGAGGTCTGGCCGTATTCAGGCTTGTGGGCTCTGGGCATTGGCTAGGCTGTGGTTGTCTGGACCCTGGGTGACCTTGGCCTCTTTAGAAACTGAGCAAAAAAGAGGTTTGATGGGATGAGGGCTGATGGGGAAATGGCCTGGAGACAGGCAGATGGAAGATGGGCTGGAAGGGCTACCTCATGGCTAGTCCAGCCCACAAGCTCAGGCTCCAGGGAATCCTGGGGAAAGGACAATGACCTCTGCAGCTGAGAGGTGACATGTGGAGCGTCGACCCATGTCTGTTGTCTGTAGCCACCCTCACTCCACCTCAGGTATTGTTTTCAGAGTCAGACCGTCAGCATGGCCTCACAGGGGACCCTGAGCAGGGCTCCTGCTGCAGACCTGGAATTGCTTGCAGAGAGTCTGACGCTGAGTGCTGGGTAGTTTGTGGAAAGGACTTTTGTGGTTTTAGGTTCGTAGTCCTCTGCTGTGGCATGGGCTTGTGGGCATCAAAACAGGATAGAATGCATAGAGGATGGCAATGGACACCCTATGTCAGGGAACGTAGGCCCTGGACACATAGTTGGGTGCTGTGCCAGGGAAGATGGCTCCTCTTACTGTTGAGAACCTTGAGATAACAGCAGAGCTGATGAGGGATTGGGGGAAAAAAGCCCCATGAGAGGCCAGGACCAAGGGCTCAGTGTGTGACCAGGATGAAGTTCTGGGTGTGATGAGGATGAAGGCTTAGTGACCAGAGTGAAGAAAAGGGGTTGGAGTATGAGGAGGATCAGGGCTCAGTGTGTGACCGGGATGAGGGAGGGTTTGATGTGTGACCAGGATGAGAGCTCAGTTTGTGACCAGCACGAGGGCTTCCTGACCAGGATAAAGGCTCAGTGTCTGACTAGGGTCAGGGGTCAGACTGGAAGCAGGAAGAGGACTCAGCGTGTGACCAGGATGAGGTTCTACTTTCAGAGCCTACCCCTCTTGCAGCTGAGGTGTTGAGTTGATAGCTGAGTTACTAGCAGGACCCAAGGAGAGACTAGAAAAAAAAGTACTGAGTGACCAGGATGGGGGCTCAGCGTGTGACCAGGGTGAGACCAGCAAGTGAGTAGAATCGAGGCTCAGTATATACTAAGGTCAGGGGTCAGAGTGTAAGCATGATGAGGGTTCAAGGTGTGAGTACGGTTGGGACTGAGTCCTGAGCTGGGTGGTAGCTTTCTCTTTCATGGACTCTGAGGTCCCCGTGGTCTCTGAGGCTCCCATGGTCTCTGAGGTCGACACTCCCCCGTTTTCCTTGCACTCTCAGAATAGTAGGGTCCTGGCCTTGCTGTGTCTGGTGTTCCCATCTCTTGGCCAGCAAGACCCAGTCATACCTCACCATTCCCAAAATACCCACTGGGAGCAGGTAGGTGGGGGTTGGCCCTGCTTGTGGCTGTGGGTATAAATACCCCATGTTGGCTGTGAGCTGTGTGAACTTTCCTCTGAAGGGATGGGGCTTCCCCAGTGGTGTGTGGTGCCACCCTGCTGACTCTGAGTCTCCAACCCTTGAGGTTTGCTTGCTGGAGACTCCAAAGGGCCTTAGCGGAACACACTCATGCAGCCCAGGAAGGGAGGGCCGTGCAGATGCAAGGGGGCTACCTCAGGCCTGGGCCACCCTTCTGAGGACTGAGTGACTTTATTGGAGAGCGAGGCCTTACTGCTGAGACCTTTTATCCTGGATGCTGCAGTGGCGTGGGGGACAAGATGGGGCTGAAAACACGGTGCTTGAACATTTTAGTGAACACAGGTGGGCTCCTTAGCGTCTCCAGATCGGACAGGGGCAGGTGACCCAGAAGCACCAGCAGAAGTTACTCTGCCAGTCACTAAGCCTTCAGGCCCACCTGCTGGTTTATGAAGTCTGCTCGTCTCAGAGGAGGCAGTTTGAGGGGACACCTCTGCTTAGGAGCTCCAGAGGGGCAGACCTTTTGGGAACTCAGCATGGGCAGAAGCTTTAGGCTGAAATCTGAACCACCTGGTCTTTCCCTCTTCCTACCCCAGGACCTGAAGAAGTATGGGGCTACCACCGTGGTGCGTGTGTGCGAAGTGACCTACGATAAGACCCCTCTGGAGAAGGACGGCATCACCGTTGTGGTGAGGGACCTGTAGCTCTGGGCACTGTGACTGTCTGGACAGTAGATTTGGGGCTCTTCACTGTGAGGCTAGGTCCTCTGCTGCCATCTGATGCGTCCTGGGCTCTCTGTGCCTGAGCTGGTGTTTGAGGCAGATGACTCTGACAGAGTCGTCTCCATGGCACCCACCTTCCCAGACTAGCCCCCCCGAGGTCAGGTTGCACATGCTCAGTGCTCTTGACTGTAGTTTCTAAACACCTGGCTTGTCTGTGTTGGAGCCTGTAGGTCCTATTAGGTGGGTGCTCCGAGTCCATTGGCAGCCTGTAGCCTCTGTGTGGTTCCTTTATGGAGCAGTTGAGGCTTGGAGTCAGATATTCTCTGAGACCACAGCTAGAAGTAGGAGGGTACACATGAGGAGTGGCCTTCCCTAATGGTGCTGCCTCCCCACCTGCTGGGTATATTTGGCACTGTGGATTGGGGTTGAGCCTTGCTGGCTCTGGCTGGTGAAGATGGAGACCCTCTTGTTCAGATGAGGTAGGGCTCAGCAGGTGCCTGCCTGGCTCCCCCGCCGCTTCCAGGGCCCTCTATTCAGCCTCTCATCGCCTGCCGTGTGGGAGCCTGTCTCCTGGCAGCAGTGAGTCCCAGGAGACCCTGTGCTGAGGCCATGGGTAGGGATCCTAGCTGCTGTTTCCTTGGCGTCTTGACCCTGGGGGCTGAGAGGAGGAGGGGCAGCCTTGTAGAACTGGTCCTGGTGCTTGGAGGGTCAGAGCAGAGTTAGTTCCTGGGCATAAGGCCTCTCTTCTCAGCGTGGAGTCTGAATGAGTCAGGCCTCGTGCAACAGACCCAGACTGACTGTGCCGAGGCCCTGGGGTCCTGTCCTCGACACCAGAGTGACCCTGGGCTACTCCTCCGTGAGGACCGTGTGTTGACGGGGTCTCACATCCTCTGCATGGCAGCTGGTAGAGGAGGGAGGAGGTTGGGTCGCCCAGGCCTGGGAGGACTCCTGCTGTGGATCCTTTCCTGCTGTGAGATCCTGCAGGCTGTTTTGACCCTCAGGGGCCTCTCACAGTGTGGGTGTTCAGGGGAATGTGAGACAAAGGCCTGTCAGCATCTCAGTACGAGGTTCCCTAGCCGACCTCCGTTCCTCAGGAGAGACTTGGGTTAGACTCAGGACTCAGTCTTACTCAGCCACGTAAGCTGGTGACCTCCAGAAGCTGCCGAGAGGCAGAGAGACCCCAGGAGCGACCCTCCATCAACTAGCTCCTGCAGACCCATGCTGGTTCTCCCTGGAACCAGTGGGTCTAAGTCTGGACTGATATGCGATGGGTCTCACCTCTCTGTCTTCTCCACACTATGCCCCAGCATACCCTGGGGCTGGAGCCTTCTCCATGTGGGCCCGCCTCCCTCTCCCTCCTAGAGCCCTGAGGGACAGGGGAAGGAGAGCTAACACCCACAGGGGAAGTCCTTAAGCATCTTCCTCCATAGGATTGGCCCTTTGACGATGGGGCGCCCCCTCCTGGCAAGGTGGTGGAGGACTGGCTGAGCCTGCTGAAGGCCAAGTTCTACAATGACCCGGGCAGCTGCGTGGCTGTGCACTGTGTGGCGGGTCTGGGAAGGTGAGTGGTGGGTGGCGCTCCTGGCCCCGTTGCTGCTGGGAGCTCAGCTTGTGCTTCTGTGGTCTGCCTTCATTGTTTTGTGAGTTTGGATGTGGACCACATCCACTTGACCTTTTTGAGGCCCCGGGTTCCCAAGCAAGTCCTTTCCCAGCCTGGCAGGGAGGGCTTCCCGCTCGGATCCAGTCACTGTAGCTCATGCAGCAAAGACATATTGGTCACCCAGGCCTGACCCCTGTTTGAGGAGAAACAGCTGCCCACACTAGCTGGAAAGGAGCCAGGCGAGGGAGCATCCCCGATGCGCCTACTGCAGGAGGACTGGAGGGCAGGCTCAGTGGCCAGTACGCTCATCGTTCTTTTTCTAGTTTAGGCACAGAGAGGTTGTTCACACGGCCTCAGGTTGCACAGGAGGGGCCAGGGGAACCAGACTAGAGCAGCTAGTTGAGCTGTCTGGAGTCTGCATCCTCCATGGGCAAGCGGAGGGACCTTTGTCAGGTGGCCCGAGGCAGGGGCGCGATGGGGTATGGGGTCTCAGATAACCTCAGCTCTGCTTGTTCCCGCAGGGCTCCGGTGCTCGTGGCTCTTGCCCTTATCGAGAGCGGGATGAAGTATGAGGATGCCATCCAGTTCATCCGACAGTGAGTAGCCAGTGGGTGGGGATGGCACGCAGGGCTCTATGGTGGATCTCGGCAGCTGGGCGGGGCTTAGGCTGTTGGCCTCTCCTTGCCCCTCACCTCTTACTTCTGTAGCTAGGTCCCTCCTCTCTGCCCCTCCTGGCTGCTCCCAAGCCGGTACCTCCTTGTGGTATGGTAGTCTTCCTGGAGGACCCATCTTTCCGATCTTCCAGGCAAGGACTGAACAGTTGATGCTGCAGCCCTAGCCTGTGCGTGTGTGTGTGTGTGTGTGTGTGTGTGTGTGTGTGTATGTGTGTGTGTGCCATATCCACTGTGGATATGTGTACGGTTTTGTGCTGCCTGAAATAGGCACAGCCATCTCTTCTCCCTGGGCAGGCCCTGTAAGACTGTAGCAGTATGGGCCTACTAGCCTGCAGGCATCCTTAGGGGAGCCTGGACTATACAGATGGGTACGCAACCTAAAGAGCTACGCTTAACACAGGCACATAGCTCTGTACCTTGGTACAGCCCTGCGGAGGTGCCGGCTAGCTAGGGTGAGATGCGCCCCCCAGCCTCTCCCAGAGCCCCAGCTTAGCCTACTTCCTGTGGGACTATCCACTCCAGTTCCCCCAGAGTCCCACAGGGTCTGAAGTTCCCTGAGGGAAAGCAAGGTGTCCAAGCCAGGCTTACTGACCCTCTGTCCCTGTCTGCAGGAAGCGCCGTGGGGCCATCAACAGCAAGCAGCTCACCTACCTGGAGAAGTACCGGCCTAAGCAGAGACTGCGGTTCAAAGACCCACACACGCACAAGACTAGATGCTGTGTCATGTAGCTCAGGCCCTGGCCCTGTCCACCCGTTACTCCCGTGCCTCAGTGTGTCTGTGTCTAAGGAGCCCAGTGGCTGTGTGTGTTCCTGCTCTGTCCCCGTCTGTGCCCACGGCTGTCCCTGGACCTCCTGCCAGTTTCGTCCAGCCCCTCCACCCCCTGCCCAGGCCTTTCCCTGGCCTGTGGACCACAGGTGGGTGTTTTTAACCACTGGGCCCAGGGCTTCAACGGCGCTGCCCTCACCCTAACCTGTTTTCAGCACCTTTTGTTACCAGATCCTGGGCCTTCAGGTGCTCTGGACTCTCAAGGCAATAAATCAGGAGCTGTGGATGTGTGTGAGGAGTGGTGCAGAGCCCAGGAATGGGGTTTGAATCTTGGGAGGCCATGGTCCCCTCCTCTGCGGTCCTGGGTAGTGTTGCTGCTGTGTGCCTCCCTAGCACCCTCTGGTGGCCATGAGATGCTCTGCATCCTGCCTTGTCTCGAGAAGTTCTTGACATTTCAGCCTGGATCCCCAGCTCCGGTTGGTGACAGTTTGGGGGTTGGAACTTTAGAAGGTGTGAGGCTGAGTCACCTCTGTAGGACAGAGTAGGGTTCACTTGGAACTTTCAGTGGCCTCCACTCCCCTGCCCCATGCCACCTGTGAGATTAGACCACAGTGGCCGCCAGCCTGGGAAATGACTTCCACGGCTCAGAGGAGGAGGAGGAGGGCAGGGCAGCAGAGTGGTGTGGAGTACGTTAGATCTGAGAGTGTGGGAAGACTGGGGGCCTGTGTAGGGCCTGATCTTCCTGCTCTCGAGTTCTGAGCAGTGATCTGGCTCTTAGCTGAGGAACGGGGACAAGGAGGGACAGGGCTGGCTACACATGTCATTGTGGATGTGCTGTCTGTCCTTTGGCATTGATACCGTGTATGGATATAATCCTCAGGCCTTTACAAACCTGTCCTTTCTGTGCCTCTAACAGATCCAGGGCCCCTCTCACCTGCACTTATCACCCGCCTTGAACCCTTCCCTATTCAAGCCCCTCATACCTGCCCCATGGCCTCCCGCTCTACCTAGCTCTGGACTAGGTCCCAGAAACCTCAAGGGCCTGCCTGGAGCCCCAGCAATCACTGTTTCTGCCTGTCCCAGTCAGGCAGGCCTTGTGGCGAGGTGCAGCCATTTGGGGGTGTTCCTTTCCCAAACTCAGTCGTGGTGGCCTTGTGTGTGCTGGAAACTCACGACACCTGTGGCATGTTTGCACAAAGTCACTGTTTTTTTTTTTTTTCAGTCTGCCATCCAAGTTTTCCACATGATGTCCCTGCCCCAGGGGGGACATAGTCCAGGAGCTGGGAGATACGGGCCACGGGGATCCCCTCAGGTGAGGGTGTGTGTGCAGGGTCTACCTGACAGGTTCCATAAGACCTGGGGGATGTAGCCTGGAGCACGGAGGCCTTTGGGTGGTGGGCACAGAGCCCGAACTTGGAGGGCTAGACAGAGGGTCTCTTGCTGTAGCTGGCTGATCTAATGGGAATGACAGGCCGTCGTGGGTCTCCTGAGCTCTGCCTGAGAAGGGATTCGGGGGTACTCTCAGGGAGTCAGGCAACCTCTTTTAGACAGTTGCAAATTTGGGGGGCCTACAGCTGAGGCTGACTGCCTTGCTGGAGGAAGACGCTGCCTTGGGATAGGGAAGCCTGCTGGGGTACCCTTCCCTTCCACCTGCTCCACATGCCCTGTGGAGCTCTCAGCTGGGGACACTGGAGACTTTCCTCTCAGGCCCCACTCCCAGAGAATGACCACGCTCAGCTGTGGGCACTATGGCCTCGGCTCTGGTCACGTGGAGTTGATTCCACCCCTGAGCAGTCATTAGTAGAGTCTATCACAGACCTTCGAGTTGGTCTGCCCCGCCCCTCCTTGTCTGTCCCTGTCTGTGCCTCTGAATCTTGCTAGTATCCTCTAAGGACTTGGCTTGGCCACCGCAGAGGGTCCTTGTGGCAGGCAGGAAGCCGGCAGCTACTACGCTTTTTTTGTTGTTGTTGTTAAATCTAGATTTTTCTTTCAAATGGAAAAATGTTACACAACCCAGCTCTATGGACAGGGTTGGGGCAGGGCTGTCCCGGGGTAGATGTGGAGGAAGAATGGCTCAAAGTCACTTCTTGGATTCGACTGACACCTCCCGAAGGAACGCGAGCTGTCTGGTGGCAAATTCCCGGATGCCAGGTTCCGGGTCTTTTTTGAGTTCTTTAAAAGCTTCAAGAGAAAAAGGATAAGTCAAAAGGGATGCTGGCCTGGGAGCAACCTTCCACCCCCACAACGCCCGTTCCGTCTGGGTAGGGGGATAAGAGGGTTCTTTCCGTCCACTGGCCAGCATGGAGTGCCCTGGTGGGGTGGGGTCTGCTCAGGAGGCCTGGGGCCTTGTCTTTGCCACCATCTGAGATAGGGATGCTGCAGGAAGCTGGGAGGAGTGGAGACGGGCCCAGGGTAGGGGCTGCTCACTGGAGAATAGCAGCCTGGTGTCCATGTCGTTTACCATCTGTGACACGGCCTGGGGTTGGTAGCAGGTGGTATATCCTGTGCAAGACAGAGAGCCACGGCTGCTGGATGCAGGCTGTTCTGGCCCGGCCCCAAAGAGCTTCCAGAAGCCCCCAACTCCCTAACCCCACCCCTTCCTCTGCTATGGTGATGGGTGGGCAAGGTGAGTGAGCCTGGCCCATGCTGCCCACCTATAAACAGAGCTGCCCAGGTCTTGATGTGGCGGTGATGGCTGTGCAGATAGTTGATGGCCTGCGACAAGTGGATGCTAAACTCCTCCTGGCTGTGTGTCATCTGGCCAGAGGAGAGCCCACCCGTCACTGCCAAGCGCCTCGACCCCTGCCAGCCTCGCCTCCCTGGGGAGAAGAGTCCGTGGGTGGGCAGCTACCTCAGGTCCTCATTACTGACCCTGCACCCTCGCCCCTCACCAGACAGGTCCAGAGGAAGTGGCGGGCGCTGAGGCCACTCTCCCAGGCCAGTGTGCAGAACAGGGTGTGCCGTGGCTGCCAGCGGAGCAGTACGGCACAGCGGTAGAAAGTGAACTTGGCCTGCTGTGGGGAAAGCCATGGGAGGGGTCACCCACTGCCCGTGTGTGGCTGAGCCTGGGCTTCCCACTCCCTGAGACCACAGCTGCAACGGGCGGGCACCTCAGCAGCCCGCTGTGCTGATGTCTGGGAAGCTGCTCCTACCCTAGGGTCATGGTGCCCTGTGGAAGGTAGGTAGGGACTCAGCTCTGTCTGGGCTTGTTGGGGAGCTGGCTGCTATTGTCTCCTCTTCAGATGATAGGGAGTCCAGGGAGCGGGGCACAATAAAGAGGGCTCTGTCTGTGTGTCAGCAGGTGCACTGTGTGCCTGTATCCCAGCATGCTCTGCTCTAGCCGGTAGACCCACATGGGAGGGGACAGTGATCGGGAAAGCCCTGCAGATGGTCAGACCTTCTGCCGCTGCCCTCTGCCCCACCCTCAGGCAACCCGATCTGGCCGCCCTTGTCCTTTGACCAAGATGAAAGGCTTGCAGGTGGGCACTGACCGTGACAACGGCTGGGCATTGGTCCTTCAGGTGTAGAAGCAGAGGTACCATACTTAGGCACACCTGGGGCCGCAGGCCACTCAGCTCCTTGTCTGCTATCGTTGCCACCAGGTCCCCAAACAGTGCCATTGCTGCTGCTCGGACATTGTCCCGCTCCTATGAGGCAGGGGCTTAGCGAGGAGCCAGTGATCCCCAGCTTGGAGCCCCTACTTCCTTGGACTTCCTCAGTCAGGCTCAGAGCCCCAGGGTAAGGTCGGTACTCCTCCCGTAGATTTAGAGGAGGGTCAGAATTTCTCTCAGATAAGGTCTCAGGACATCCTCCCATAGAATTGCCCTGTCCTCTGGTGCCCACTGTTACCCTGACAACCAGGACCATGAAGGCAGCTAGGTGACTGGGACCTGCCCGTGTGGTTTGTAGTAGGCCAGGACATAGAAGGGTTGGACAAGTAAGACTTGGCACTTCAGCCATGAGGAGGCGTGGAGCACTTGCTGGTGGACATCTGGCCAGATCTGGTGCACTGTGGCCTCACAGCTCGGCCCACGGGTTCAGTTCCCCTGGGTTCAGAGTCAGGTGCAGTGGGAGGGCAGAAGGGGTCCTGAAGCACAGGGAGTTGTTGGGAGGGCCCAGGGGGCGAGCCCAGCTGCATCTGTCTTTATTCTTACGTCATCAAAGAAGTAGCGGGTGTTGATGGAGATGCAGAGACTCTGGGCACCTGCGCCCTCTGTGCCCAGGCGGTGCAGTACGTCTGATACCACGCCCATAATGCCCACCACCGCCGCCTCGTTGTTCTGGAAGAAGCCATTGAGGAAAGCTGGCAGTTGACCTCTGAGCAGGGTTTCCTATGGGGAAGGCAGGGGACGGTGGGGGACAGGCTCAGGTCTGGCCCCTTCACCTGGCTTCAGTTGGGGTACCCGACCTGAGTTTCTGCTGAGGCCTTGCCCTTGAGTCCCAGGTCCTTATCCCTTCCGGGCCCGGGGCAGCTTTTTCCTTCCTCTGAGCCCCACAGGGGCTTCACTCCCATGTCTGGCTCCCTTCAGGTCAGATGGGGTCAGCTGGACTACGAAAGGCTGGTCAGGTTGCATTTACTGAGGTGGGCCTCCTGAACTTTTGTGTTGCAAGGGGCTGTTGTGGGCCATTTTTACACACTTGCTGCTTGTTGTGCCAGCTCCACTTGTTGACTGTGTGTCCTGAACTCTCAGGGAGTGGTCAAAAGTCAACAGGATATTCCCACCTTTGGATCTTTTATCAAGGTGGCTTTCCTCTTTATAAACAATCTTGTCTCCTAAGTTCTGTTTGGTTTGAAATACTAAGTTCACCTTCACAGAGTGGTTGGAGGGCCGTGCAGACGCGGGCACCTGTGGTCTAGCCTGGTAGGATGGGGTTCTGATAGAAGAGCTAAGGGAGAAACGGGCACACCCAGCCTGTCTTTTGGGCTGCTGAGGACTGAACGGACTTTCTCGCTGGAGTCTGGGAAGGAGTCTGGGAAGGAGGGCCTCAGTTGTTGCTCATTACATGGTCCCAGCAGTGAGGATGTTGCCCAGAACCCCAGGGTCTGAACTGGGGCGGAGGAGACCAGGGAAGGGCAGGCCCCTAGACGCAGCCTTGCAGTCTTCCTCAGCGCAGGCTGTCCATGTGGGATGTGGCTTGTGATGGTGGTGGCATAGGGGACTTTGTTGGAAATGGAGAATTGGGGGATAAGGGGCACATCACTCTCAAGGGGTGTTCTCTCTGTGCCAGGTGAAGTGTTCTGTCTGCCTGGTTTCTCAGTGGGCCTCTGGGTTGTGCAGGAGGGCCCATTCCTTCTCAGGGTGAGGAGACATGTTCCTGGGCAACATGGGTGTCCTCTCCTAAAGTATGTCCCAGGTGACAGAGCCAGGGTTTCAACCCACTGGACCTTGCCCACCTGATGCTTGTGGCTACATAGCACTCTGGCCCTCACCTTCTCCTCGTGGAAGAGTATGTTTCCAAGGCCCTGCAGGCTGGCCACACGGATCTCAGGGCTGGTGTCCTGGAGGCTTTGGGCCAGTACAGTCAGGGCAGTCTGTTTAGAAATCACCTCCAACAGGGCAGGGCTATAGAGGAACTGGGAGCCCCAGAGAATAGGCGGCTCAGGCTTGGCACTCTCTCCTGGGCAGCCTGTGTCTTTGTTGTAGGCTTAGGGGAGGATGGCTGACTAGCATGCCCAGGGTACCAGGGTTAGCAAGCATTTAAAACTTCAGAGGCCAAATCCTTCTATGTATGACTGATGAAGCTGAGGCCTAGAGAGGTTAGTTAGCCAGCCTAGAGCCAATGTGCACCCATGGAAGCACATGGGAAACCAGACTCCAGGAAGGGCAGCTCACAAATCCTTCCAGTGGATTGGGAAGAGACATAGGCCCCCTCTTGGCTTAGAGACCTAGTAGCTGATGCCAGTTATGGAAGTGACCCTTCCTTCAAAGCTCTGCTTCTGCCAGAGCCCATGGTGAAGTGGCCACATCCCAGCCCTTGTCAAACCGTTACCCTGTATGTAGCTCAAGGTTCTAGGGTGGGAGTGGGTGCGGACCAAGGGTTACATGTGAGCAGAACAAGGCTATGTTTGAGTATGATCTGCCGAGTCCATACCCAGGGATCCTCAACTCTACTTGGGTCATCGTGGGCCAGGTAGCGTGAAAAGACAGGTCCCCAAGGCTGTAGGCCGAAGGTCCTGAGAGGAGGCCCCTGCAGAGCTGGAAGGGGTCAGTCTGGGCAGCTGTCCCCACAGGGTGAGTCAGGTGGGCATCTTGTCTTGGGTTGAGGAAGCCGGAGGATGGGACACAGACTACCTGGAGCCCACTGCTCCCTCCACCCCACCCCCCTCACCTTACCTCAATGAGGACCAGGATGGCTGTCTTCCTTTCTCGCTCCTGCTGGCTCTGCAGGCCGGGCAATAAGTAGCTGAGAACTGCCTTGATCTGTTTGCAGTGATTCTGCACCATGGCCCTGGGGGCGGGGCCTGGTTTTGTGGTCACTGCCCATGGGTATACCTACTACCACCTCCCAGGCTGGCCAGGTTGGGCAGCTAGGTACAGCCCAATGTGATGGAGCAGGCATGTTGTGTCTCTGTGTGTTCTTCTCCCACGTGCCAGGCCTGGGCTATGGGTGGGGAAGGCAGAGGAGGAACAGATAGCCGTTGTTCCTGAGGTCCCAGGGCAGGGTGGGACTGGGGGAGGATTCTGCACCTGCACACTCTGAGTTCATGTACCTGGGAGTGTAGCCCATGCCTCTTGTGCTCCAGGGTACCGTAAGCATATGTAGACCTAAGAGGTGCTGCCTTTAGGCTGCCCTGGGTGGCCTCAAGTGAGCCACGGTGCTCAGGGCCTGCCCACTGTGGTTTCATTGGCCCAGCCTCCCCTCCCTTGCCCCATTAGTACCTGGCAAGGAGGCCCACGGCCTGGGGGTAGGTGTTGATGGATGTGAAGTGCCCCCAGGCACTCTGCAGTTCCAGGTGAGCAAAGTCATGCCAGTGTCCCGTGGTGGACAGCAGACTCTTCAGGGCCTCCAGTGACGTGCTGCAGCCAAGCAGAAAGGCAGGGTCTATCCAGAGTGGCAGATGCCACCCGAGCCTTCTCCTGTTTTTGGATGGGGTCCCAGGCTGTCTTAGCTCTTGAGCCTGCCTCCTGCTAAGGGCCAGGGTGAGGCTGAGTGTGCAAGGCACAAGGACACAGCAAAACACACCCACCACTAGGTCCTGTTGGGGTGAGTATCTTAGTTACTTTTCTAGTGCCATGACAAAACACCGTGACCAAGGTAACTTATAAAAGAAAGCATTTAAGCCGGGCGGTGGTGGCGCACGCCTTTAATCCCAGCACTCGGGAGGCAGAGGCAGGTGGATCTCTGTGAGTTCAAAGCCAGCCTGGTCTACAAGAGCTAGCTCCAGGACAGGCTCCAAAGCTACAGAGAAACCCTGTCTTGAAAAAACCAAAACCAAACCAAACCAAACCAAAACACCCCCTCCCAAACAAACCAAAACAAACCAAAAAACATTTAATTAGGGAACTCATGGTCCCAGTGTGTTAATAGATTCCATGGCTATCATGGCCAGGGGCATGGCAGCAGGCAGGCATGGTGCTGGAGTAGTAACTGAACACTTACAGCTGATCCACAAACAGGAGGGGGGGGGGAGAGAGAGAGAGAGAGAGAGAGAGAGAGAGAGAGAGAACTGGGAAGGGCTTGGGATTTTGAAACCTCAAAGCCCACCCACCCCCTATGACACACTTCCTCCAACAAGGTTGCACCTCCTAATCCTTCCCAAACAGTTCTGCCAACTGGGGACCAAGCTTTCAAATGTCTGAGTGCTACGGGGACCATTCTCATCCAAACCACCAGAGCGGAAGGCAATCATGCCTTCGCAGTAGGTGGAGTTCTTAGTTGCTCAGCAGCTGTTTGGGGGCAGAGCACAGGAGACAGGGCTGGAGAGAGCTCTGGGAAGTCTTGGGCTCTAGGGTCTCCCATGACCTAGGGTGGGGGGAAGGGTCCTAGATGTGTCCTTGAAGGACGCAGATGTTTAAATATGAGCAAAGAAACACGAGCAAGGAGCACTTGGGAGGGAGGTGAGCTAGGGTGTGTGGCGTTGTGGATGTTCAGAGGGTTCATTTCCATATCGGCTCCTCTGTCCTGTGTCCATGAAAAATGACCTGATGTTTGCTAGGTGCGGGGTACCTGTGAGGAGCCTCAGTCCAGTGTATTCAGTGATACTGAATACAGGCAGAAAGCTGGGAATGCAGGTCCATGGAGCTCAGAGTGGCCTGGCTCCTTGATCATCTGGCTGTTCCTTGCCGTTATTTGCCGGGGGTGCACGAACCTGACATATTGGGCTTGACTTGCCACGATGGCTGAGCTCTCACCCCATCACTCCCCCCACTCCCAAGCTGGCATTAAAAAGAGGCAACATCTTCCAAGTCACTGCTCACAGCCACAGAGAGATGATGACTTTCTGAAGGGGAAGGGGTGGGAAGTCATTTTGTTCAGACATTTTGGAATCTTCTAGTCTTGGGGCATCTTGGGCCCATGGTGACAGCTTTTTCTTCATGGTTGATTTGTCCTCATGGCCACAGCCAGGGCTTCAGAGAGATGACCATCGGATGAAATGTGCACTGTTGGGTATCTCTGCCTGATTCCAGGAGAAAGCCCCAGTCTCTGGGGACCCTGACAGCTCTTGCTTCCTAGTCCAGAACTCCCCACCACCTATGTGCCATCTGAAGTTAACATGCATCCTTGAAACCAGTGAAGAAGAGTCCTTAGAGGTGCCACCTGCCCTAGGACAGCCGCCATGACCTCCCAGAAGGTCACACTGTCTTGTCTTCAGATTCTCCACACTCCAGCATCCCAGGGATACCCACATGGAGTGCCGTTCTTTTTACTGTCTGTGGCCCTCAAGGAACAGAGTGTCTGTGGGAATGGGGGTGTGAGCATGCTACCGTGTATATGTGGACTCAGACAACCATAGGGTACCAGTCCTCCTCTTCGACCTCGAGACAGGTTCACGGCTGTGTGTGTCAGGCTAGCGGGCCTGTGAGTGCTGAGGAATTCTCCTCTTTCAGGCTCTCATCTCGCTGTAGGAGTGTTGCGATTATAGATCTGTGCCACCGTGTCCAGCAGTGGGGATTCGAACTGAGGGCCTTATGCTTGTTTGGCAAGTGCTTTACCCAATGAGCAATTTTTTTTCCCTAGCTCCCTATTTTTATTTTTAACTGAGGTCAGGTGCAGCTCACATTAGAGTTTGCTATTATAGTTCATTTTAAGCAGATGAATCGGTGGCAGTAGCCATAATACTGTGTAACCTTTACTATCTCCCATCTTCCCAGATGGAAATTCCCCTTAAACATTGACTCCTGCCCCTGGCCCCCATCCCCCATCCCACTCCAGCCCCGACCTCATCACTCTGTTTTCTGTCTTTGACTCCTCTAAGGACCTCAGGTGAGTAGAATCCTACAACACTTGTCTTTTTTCTTTGTTTTGTCTTGTTTTTTTGGGACAGTCTCATGCATCCCAGGCTACCTTTGAGTTTGCTCTGTAGCTGAGGATGGACTCCTGATCATCTTGCCTCTGCCACCAAGTGCTGGGATCGCAGTCATGTGTCATCTAACTCTGCTGTTTTCTGTGTGATGACTGGTCCATGTCACTCAGCATAATGTCCTCCAGGCTCATGCGTGATGTTCCGTGTGTCAGGATGTCCCTTTAATCCTGAGTGTTGTCTGCGATGGGTCATCATAAGATCTTAGAAGATTAATACATGCCCCTAGCTGCTGTGGTTCCTTCTGGTTTACACCTCTCTCTGCTTCCTGTCCACCAAGAAATGAAAAACAGCCCCCAGCCACACATTCCTGCTGCCGTGATATTCTGCCCGAGTGCATGGGTCACAGCGGCCATGAACTGAACCCTCTGAAGCCATGGCCTAAAGTAAAGAATTCCTTCTTTTAAGTTGCTTTCCAGGTATTTGATCATAGGAGAAAGAAAAGTAACTAATACATTATCCCATTGCCTGATGGATCACATTCTGTCCGTCCGTCCGTCCGTCCGTCCACCTGTCCATCCGTCCATCCATCCATGCATCCCTGACTCTTGGCACATTTGCAATTTTGGCCACTGTGAATAGTGTCCTTCAGCAAGTTTTCCAGACTCTTCTGAGTGTTGGCTTTCAGTTTTTTTTTCTTTTTTTCAGGTATAAATTCAGAACAGAAGTGGGATTGCTGGGCCATATGGACTTTCTCCCCTTCCCTGGAGATCCGCTCTCTGTATATTCAGAGTATATCTGTATATGGCCCTGCTACTTGTGATCCTTCTGCCTCGGCTCCCTAAGTACTGGCATGCCAAGCACATGCCACGACAGCTCATGCCATAGTTGTTCTTTCTGAGCTGCCCCATCTCACTGTTCGTGGGCAAGGCTCTTTCTTTCTCCACGTCATTCCTCTGTTTTTCGCTTGTTTGTTTCTATTCAAGATAAGGTTTATCTATGTAGCCCTGGATGTCCTGGAACTTGCTCTGTAGACCAGGCTGGCCTCAAACTCCGAGATCTGCCTACCTCTGCTTCCCGAGTGCCAAAACTAAAGGCATGTGCCACCACTGCCCGACTGTTTTTCCATCCACATCTTTACCAAGCACTCTGGTTTTGTTTGTGACTGTACCCACCCTGATGAATGTGAGATTCTTTCTCCTCCATTTAGTTTTATTTTTTAAAGATAAAATCTTACTATGTAGCTCAGGCTGGCCTCAAACTCTTTCTGAGGCTGGCTTTGAACTCAGGATCCTCCTGGTTCAGGTGTGGAGCTGAGTGCTGAGCCTAGTGTGCCCACACACTTGCTTCTCTTCTTCTATTACTAGGCTTTGTCTCTTGGCCCAGAAGGGCAAAGGTCAATACTGAGGCCAGGATGAGAGTGAGTTGGAATAGAGATGTCTCACGAGTGGGCCAGTCAGCCACTCTAGTGGTTTGACTAAGTGAGAAGTCCTCTAAGGGCTGACAAGGGACACAACTGAGAAGTGACCTGGGTGGTTGAAATCTCTAGAGCAAGCACATTTGTGACTCAGGGAGGTCCCTTGCCTGTCAAAGGCATACTCCACCCAAAGCCCTGCTCCTGGGTATGGGGCCCAGCCTCGTTGAGCAGGATGACAGGAACCTCCAGTGTCAAGGCTCACTCGCCCTGCCATCTAGCATTCTGTGCCATTCACCCTGAGGGGACCAACAGCAGGCAGTAACAGCAGTGGGTTCCTATATCCACTCTTCAGCACCCCTTTTTCTCCCCATAGTGCCAGCCAACCTGGCACAAGGCTGAGGCCTAAAGAGCGCCAGCCAACTTCCCTGATGCCCCACTGTCACTCCTGTTCATGGGCCTACTGGGTGGCCTGCCCATGCGTGGACCCCTTTGGTTGGTCCCAGCCAGGCTGCTTTCCTCTGGGGAGGGAGACCTAAGCCTTGTTCAAGCTCCAGGTGGGTATAGGAGCCTCACCTAGTCAATCAGAGCATTGGACGTTTTCATTGGTTGGGTAGATGACTGAATCTGGGCCAATCAGAGCTCATGTATTCCATCCAGGGTATGTTTCGGGGGGCCTTTGGCTGCTGGGGCCACACTTAGGACCTGTCTACAGGCTGGCCAGTGAAGAAGGGGGAGCTGAGGTGGAGAGGTATACATCTTTGGCTTTCCTCCCACGGGGAAAGCTACCCATGAGTCCAGGAATGTGAGACCTCCCTTGGATGTGGAAACGGACATCCCTGCCTTCTAGAACCTTCCACCCATGGGGCGGAGGCCACAAACAAGGGAAGATGTTGTTAGATGTTGAGGGTCCAGGATAGGGTAGGGGCTGAAGGAGGGGTTGCTGTTTATGGGTGTGGCCATGGAGGCCTTAACAGGGACTCTCAGGTGAGCAGAGCCCTGAGGGCAGAGGCTCTGGGGAAGAGTGGGGAGGGCAGAGAAGCAGAAGGGAGGAGGCAGTCATCTCTGCATTCTTCCCCACCTTGCTGAGCTCTGGGAGGAGAATGTTTTATTAGCTTATTAGGGAAGATTCATGCATTTTGCATGGTTGATGTGAATAAAAAAGAGATTTCGTGCATATTGGAATTCAGAAGCAATCTGAGAAGTGACATTTCTTTCCCTGTGATGTGCCTTGGGGAGAGCGGTTAAGCCTGACAAATGGCTGAAGCACGCCATCACACAAACAAATGAAAAGAGTGAGCCCCGGTGGCTTTTAAAGACACACTTATTGGATTTTGGGACATGTGACCAGGTGCAAAGGGAAGCCCAAGGCAGTCAGCCCCTACTGTGGCAGGATGGAATGTCCCTCACATCCTGGCCAGGCGGGTTGGTGGGTGGGGCATTAGTATCCATGAGCTGCCATGAACCACTACTGTCCCATGTGTATGATGTGGGGAATGGCTATGTCCTATGTCCATTGCAAGGAACACGTGGATCAAGAAGAGGTCCCCTGCTGGGCGGTGGTGGCGTACACCTTTAATCCTAGCACTCGGGAGGCAGATGTAGGTGGATCTCTGAGTTCAGGGCCAGCCTGGTCTACAGAGAGAGTTCCAGGACAGCCAGGACTACATAGAGAAACCCTGTCTTGAAAATCCCCCTAAAAAAAATGTACCCTGTGTCGTAACTAGGTAGCTGTTTTCAGGGATCCCCTTTTGATAAGTGTCTGTGGAGCCAGGTACCCTAGGGGGACAAAGAAAGCAGGCACATACCTGTTTTGGGGATCATTTGTTCTGGTTGTTATCCTGGTCATGAATGGCATTTGGGATCATGACTATTATAATTGTCCCTTTAGGAAGGATATATTGGAGCTAATCCCCACTACCCTCCCACCAACCATGCGGATGCCATCAGGTCGACATGCACTTATTAGGGTGGCCCAGACTCAGTGGTTGATGTCTTTATATGAAGTGGGTCTTTAGACACAGGCAGAAGACAGTATTATGGGATGTTGGAAACAGAGATTAAGGTCATGCAGCTTCAAGCTACAGACATATCCTGGGAACAGCTGAAGCTAGGGAAGTAATCAGGGGTAAGGCTGCAGACCCTCTGAATTTAAATTTCTGATCTACCAGAGAATCTGACCTCTGAATTGAATGATCAGATCCTGCTATCTAAGCAATCCCCACACTGTGTGTGTGTGTGTGTGTGTGTGTGTGTGTGTGTGTGTGTTGTTACCTGGACAGGAAGCTAACTTTGTCCTGGGGGTTCCTATAGGTGTGTGTAAGGCCTGCAGTTAGCTGTCCATGAGGCCTTGGGCTCACCTCTGAGGACTTGGCATGGTTGCTTCTTGGGCTTTCTGCTCTTGCTCAGGCTCTGTGGGTTGGTCCAGCTCCAGGATATAATGCATTTGTGCCAGAAGGGCCAGGAACAGCTGGGGAAAGGCATCCCGCACGGCTTTCTTGAACTCTCTGGCGAACTGTAGCTCGTGAATTGTGTACATGGCCTGTGGGAGTGGAGCGGGTTTGGATCTGAAGTGTTGGGATTCCCGGCCAGGGGTGTTCAGTCAAAACCCACACTCAAACGCACCTCTCCCCGCCTGTTCTGATGGCTCAAGACCATACGTGTCCAGGCAATGTCATTTGACCTGTGCTGGCTTATGTCACCTGTGCACCCTCCGTTAGAGCCTCTGGACTGGCTGCTCCAGTCTCGCTGGTGCTCCCCAGACGGTCTGCCCTAGCCTGCGCTCTTTATCTGATGCTCTAGAGCCATCAGCGGGTGCATCAGCAGTTGGTGCGTTCCAGCCTATGCTCCCCAACCCATGCTCCCTAACCAGTGCACCCCAACCTAAGCACTTCCTATATTCTCAGAACTGTGTCTGTAAGTCATTATCTATCTAGGGAGGATTTGGGTGTGGGGAAGCAGCTATCTGGGCTATAACTTGGGAGGCTTGGAGGTCAGGACTCTATCTAAGAAAGTGTTACATAGAGTTTGACACAGCTGCTGCCTTGCCAGGTGTGGACGTGGCCACCTTAGCAGGCAGGTGTCCTGTCCCAGGGTATGCAGATACGGTGTAGGCTAATGGAGAAAACTGGAGGGAGGGTCCTCCAGGGACAGCGTTGCTGCCAATCCTATGGCTTGGCCAGAGTCTGTGATCCCAATATGGGGCATGGCTTTGAGCCCCAAATGCTAGGCTTCCGTTTGTGCATTGCCAGAGGCCCCTCCCCTCCAAGGCTGCCTCTCTATGTCTCTTTAGCAGTCCTATAGGCTGACACTCCTGACTTACTTGCTAAGGGCTCAGAGTTCTGAGTCTGGTCATTGGGAACTGAGCCAGGGGCCACAGAGTGTGGAGTCTGTCTATGGGCTGGGCTGTCCCACACCTTCTCTTCCAGATAGGGAGTGGACCGTGTCTCAGCCCTCCTCCCTGGAACCTGGCGTACTGATTCACGTGCTCACACAGCTGCCCACCAGGGATGGGGCGAGAGACTCACAGCCAGTGAACGCAAGTAAGGCTTCTCCTCGGGACAGGAACTGCTGTCGCTGGCACCAGAGGGCAGAGGCCTCTTCTGCAGCCAAGCCATCAGCACAGTCAGAACCAAATAACTTGCAGGCTCTTCAGCTCCCAGGGCCTTCCACAGGCAAAAGGCATGGCTATGGGCAGAGAGGGTGCTGTGAGCGCCATGCTGTGGCCCATGCCTGCTGGACTTGGCTAGTAGGTCCTGTGTCTAGGGCTCTAGTGAAGGGCAGGGTGGCCTTGTATTTACTTTGCAGGGAGTTGGATGCTGAGGCCTGCAGAGAAAGGCTGACTCAGATCACTGCCCTGTCTGGTACCTGGGCACTGGCCCTGCAGCCATCTGAGGCCCGGGGCAGGGAGCGCAAGTAAGAGCTGTCCTGACAGGGAACTATGATGTTTTCTGAGTCTTGCCCTAGTGTCCTCGGAGCTTTAGTGTTGGGTGGAAAGGGCTCTTTGGGGCAAGACCAGGAAGGACTTAGTTGAGTGGTCTCCTAAGTGGCAAGGCAGACCCGAGGGGACCACCCTTAAGGACAACATGCCAGTCCCAGCTAGTGGACACAGATCTTAGGGAGTGTTCTACAGCGTGGCCACAGGATGGCGGCATCAAGAGCTAGAGGGAGAGAGAGCCCTGCCTGAGTCCCTGAGAGCCTGGAGGGTGGGCGAGTCTTCCCATCTGCTCCCTGGGCTGCTGCTTCCCCACCTGCACCCTTGTGCCAAGCACCTTGAAGCAACATTCAAGAGAGCAAGACATGCAGAATTGACAAAAACCCTTGACATCTTAGGGGTGACAGCCTAGTGGTGAATGCGGATATGTCAGAAGCTAAGTGCGGAAGATGCTGAGGGCAAGACCGAAGTGGGGTGGGAAAAGGAGGGAGGAAAACCTAGGAAGCAAAGGTACACACATGCAAGATGAAAACCTGAAGGCCGACAGCTAACCAAGGTGGGCATGGCCCCAGCTCGATGAAGCTGTTGGGAAGAGCGGCTTCCTCTCAGCTGCCATGGGTGCGCTAGAGCTAAGCAGGCTTGGGAGGAGTGGGGGCAGGGAGTAAGAGAGAAAGAAAACACAGCCAGAATCCACAAACCAACAGACCTTCTCAAAAACGAGAGATGCACGGCTAAGGAAAAAGCACATGGAAGACACGGACACCAGTGGGGACCAGTTCATTTTACTTCGCCCCCCACTGTGATCGTGTGGTCCAAGGAGTGAAGAGCACAAGCCTGGATGAGGATGTGGAGAAACTGGACTCCGTGTGCTGCTGCGGGGACTGTAAAGAGGCAGAACCACTCTGGAAAGCTGGAGCAGTTCCTCAGGGGGTTAGATGCGATGGAGCTACACAGCCTTGTGCTTTCACTAAATGCAGGCACCTCCAAAATCAGAGAACAGATCAAACATACACACTTGTCCCACAGTGGCAGCAAGGGGTTGATTTCAGGGCCTCCCTTGGGTATGAAAATCTGGGGATGCTCTAGCTGGGCATGGTGGCCTATGTCTGTCATTCCAGAACTCGGGAGGCTGAAACAGGAGGATTGCAAGAGTGTGAGTGTAGTCTGGGATACACAGTGAGTTCTAGACCAGTCTAGGCTACAGTGAGACCCTGTCTCAAAAATCCAATCCAAATCAAAAATAAACGCGGCACAAGTCCCTTGTATAACGTGGTGAGCTCTTTGCATATATCCTACACGCACCCCTTTTTAGGTAGTCTTTAACCTTCACTGCCATTATATGGACATAATAGGAGGCAGAGTCTGTGCAAGCAGTCATTTAACTGCATCACTTGGGGAGTAATGATGAACCTGTGTGGGGTCAGCATAGGCGTATTCTTTCTGGAGAAATATTCTGACTCCATGGATGTGGGAGCTGTGGATGCAGAGGGGGAGTTCTTGTTTGTCAGTGTTGACAGCAAATTACTCATACAGAAAAAGGGTGTAGACCACCTAGGTGTCTATTAGCAGATGAACTGATGAGGCAAATGGGGATGGACACACAGTGATGTACACACACCCATCATAGAGTACACACAGGGGAACACTGCCCAGCCATAGGAATGAAGTTATGACATGTGTTTTAGCATAGAGGAACCTGGAAAGTGCAATACCCAGGGGGGAGTCTAGGCATTAATCCAGGGCTGTAGCAGTTCACGCTAGGACTCTGAAGCGCCTTTACTTTTCTGGAAAGAGTAAGGATAGCAAAGTCAATCCCGAACACATTGATGGAAAGAGTAAGGGCAGAAAAGTCAATCCCGAACACATTGATGGAAAGAGTAAGGGCAGAAAAGTCAATCTCAAACACATTGACAGTTACAGCACACACAAATAGAACATGTACTCCAACAAAGACTGGCTATGACAAACTTGATAAAATTCTGGCTACAATGGACGTGTCTGGGTGCTGGAGAGATGACTCCATGGTCAAGAGTCCTTGCTCTTACAGATGACCTAAGCTGCATTCCCAGCACCCACACGGGGCCTCTCACAACCACTCATAACTCCAGAGTCAGGTGATGAGATGCCTTCTTCTGAACTCAACAGGCGCTTGCATGTGCACGCGCGCGCACACACACACACACACACACACACACACATGTTGAAAAATAAAGTAAAATAAAGAAAAAGACAAGTCTGAAACAAAAATGTGAAGATATTAGAAGTCAAAGCTACTATACCAACCAAAGGAATTGGTGTGGTTAGGCTAGGGTTTGGACAGTCTAAATACCGGGCAGTGTGAACTCAAATTCTGTACCAGCATGCATGTGTGTGAGTGTATCTATCTGTGTCTACGCACATGCCACTGAGTACTCAAGGAGGGCCAGAAGAAGGTGTCAGGTCTTCTGGGGCTGGGGTTATAGGTGGTTGTGAGCCATTCTAACACTGGTGCTGGGAGCCAAGTGGTCCTCCAAAAGGGCAGCAAATGCTCGTAAGCCCTGAGACATCTCTCCAGCCCCTCACATCGTGCTGAGTGCTTCTGACCACTCAAGTAAAAACAGCCATCAAAAGTGGAAAAGAAGAAAGGCCTTTTGGGCGCTTGACTCAAGTGTTTTGTGGGCGTGCAAAGGGCCAAGAGTAGAGAAGACATTCTTGGAAAGTCAGAGGGGAGGCCGCTCTGTAGAGGACAATCGTCGCAAAGCTCTCACAATTAGAACTGTGAGTGTTGGCCTGGGGGATGGAGAAGTAGAGCCCCTTGAGGACAGGAAGTGCTTGATTTGTGAGGGATGCTGAGCAGGGAGAGGGGTGAGCATACACGAAAGAAAAATGAAACAGGAAAGTGTCAGGCTCAATCATGAAAGTAACAATGAATATAAGGCAACCAGCACCTACCAAATTGGCTAAACCATGGATGATCGATTAAAATGCAGGTGCTGAGCATAGGTGAAACTGTGAAGCGAGAGGGACACTCAGAGAATAGCAGTCTGTCCTGGGGGTGGGACTCGGCAGGAGCACATTGGAAAATGCCTCACACCCTCCATGGAGGTGGGACACAACACAGCTTCCTCTTCTAGGTGTGCTGTCCCTGATAACGCACACGCACACACACACTCCCCACAACATGGGAAATCCAGTCCTCGAGTATGTTAGGACACACACAAGCAAGTTCACAGATGCACTGTTTGTCAAGGTCTCTAGTGGGAACCAATTAAATGTTCTCCTACAGTGAAGAGGACCCTTGGCATCACAGTGTTAGTGCCACAGAGCAACAGCGAGGAGGGAGCTACAGGGGGACACCATAAAAATTAAACATGAAGCCGGAGGGAAACAAAGCCAGGCAAGAAGAAAGACACTGGAAGAGTCCAGACTGCACGGTTCTATTTAAGCTTTCAGCACACATTGCACTGTTGGGATGGGTACGTTTTCTGAAGCAGGGGTTTTCTTTTCTCCCTGGCTGGTCTGGAACTTGCTACGTAGATCTGGCTGCCTTTGAACTTGGAGGAGGAGGGAGTGCCTGCCTTACCACTCCTGACTTTTTTTTTCTTTTCCTGAGGCAAGGTGGCAATTTGTTTTTTTCCTTCAGAGACAGAGTCTGTACACGGACTCTCCTTAGAGTTGTAATCCTCCTGTCTCAGCCTTTTGAGTGCTGGGATTCTAGGCGTCCACCACCACATCTAGCTAGGATGCAGTTTCTTTCTTTCTTTTCTTTCTTTCTTTCTTTCTTTCTTTCTTTCTTTCTTTCTTTCTTTTCTTTCTTTTTTCTTTTTTTTTAAATGAAGGTTGTCCATGAGGGGCACCTAATAGGTGATCTCTCCATAGAGTTATGTGCATAGTTTAGGGAAGAGAAAAAAGGAAGCAGTATGCAAACAGATCTCTGCCCTGTGCCAAAAAAGAGGAGCCCCTCTCCTTTCCCTGGGTAGAAGACAGATGCTGTCCTGGGAATCTGAACCATAAGCCTATTTTGATATTTAAATTCCCACCACCAATGCAGCCCCCAAATTGTCCAGCTGGACTTTTATGTTTAAAACCATCACAAATGGCGGTGCCCGAGTGACTGGTAGAAGCCAATATCAATCCAGAGAAATCTAGTCATGAGAGGCTCCATTGGTGTGTGGCACACTCAGGCTCTGTAAATGCTATCATGGGGACGGTGCTTGGGACCGAGGAAGGTATAAACTCTGGCAGTGAGATGGAACCATAAACTTCTAGGCAGCAGAAAAAGTGCTGCTTGCGGAGATCCGCACTTTCCCAGATTCTTTGAAAGATAGCACAGAGTCGGGAGGGAGCGTGCAACCATGGTCGCTTCACTGGGAGTAAAGAAAAAACACACCAGCTCTGGTGGGCAAGTTCCACCCCTCCACTGCAAGGCTCTGCGAGAGACAGAAGCAGGTAGGAGAAACCTTTGGGAAGAGGACACAGGGCAAATAAAAGCTCAGAGTGGGCCAAAGTCACCTTCAGGAAGATTAATCCCCTTGAAGTCTTGAAATACACCTAGGAGAGAGAACTCTGGGAGGTCAGAGCACCTTGCTTCTCCAGCAGTGCTTAGGAGTGTCTGTCTGCATGTCTTATCATTGTCTATTCGTCCTTACTCCTCATTGCTGGCTATCACTAATTGCCCAACCTCAGAGGACACAGGGAAGGAGTTAAACACTTTGCCATCATCAAATGTACAGCATTGGGAGAAAAAGGGAGCGGAGAGGACTAGGGAGGAGGAAGAGGAGTCAGATGGAAGCAAAAGGAAGAGGAAGAGGAAATGTTAAAGGGGAGGAGGAGTAAGAGGGGAGGAGACTTGGTGGTGAAAGGGAAAGAGGGAAACATTCCTGTCAAAGAAGAGAAGAAGAAGTCCAAAGAACTAGAGGGCATATGTGCGGGCCTACCACCACGCCCAAAGTCTTTGAGATGGCCCGGCTCTTAGCTGTAACGACAGAAGATGGAGCCATTGGACTTGAAAGCCCATGAAACATTCCAACAGCTCCAAAATGAACAGTGTGGCGATTTGAATAAGAATGGCCCCTATAGGCTCACATATTTGAATGCTTGATCATCAGGGAGTGACACTATTTGGGAAGGATTGGGAGGTGTGTCAGTGTTGGAGGAAGTGTGTCACTGGGGGTGGGCTTTGACATCTCAAAGACTCCCTCTTGACCTATGGATCAGGATGTAGCTCTCAGCTACTTCTCCAGTTCCACATTGCCTGCCACCTGCTCCCATGATGTCACCATGATGATAATGGACGAACCCTCTGAAACTGTAAGCAAGCCTCCCACTTAAATGCTTTCTTTTTTAAGAGTTGCCTTGGCCGTGGCATCTCTTCACAGCAGTAGAACACCATGACAAACAGCTCTACAGATTATTTGCAGAAACTAGAATCTACAGGTCAACAAAGTGAAGATGGCTTCAGAGTGCTGGTTCTACAGAGGAAACCTGGACTCCTCACCCCACAGCAGCAAGTGCTTAGAGACCCAACCACCTTGAATATGTTCAAGAAAGGACAAATCTTCAGTATAACCTCAAAATAATTGACTGAAACCAGGGAAGAAATAGAAAGAAAGAAAGAAAGAAAGGAAGGAAGGAAGGAAGGAAGGAAGAAAGAAGGAAAGAAAGAAAAAAAGCAATGACTTCAGCTAGGTTATCCTAGAACTCAAGGACTGAGACAGAGGAGGAGGAGTTCAAGACCAGGCTAGCAAGACTTGTCTTAAAAACAAGCAAGCAAGCAAGCAAGCAAGCAAGCAAACAAACAAACAAACTAGATTTTCAAGCTTGGGAGGTGGTGGTTTAAGGAGCCTACTTTGCAAGTATAAGGACCAGAGTTCAAACCTCCAAGACTCACATAAATGCCAGGTGGGCGTGGCAATCCACCTGCAATTCCAGCCCTTGGAAGGCAGAGACTAGCCACATCTGTGAACTCTGGTGTAAACTGTGAAACCCTGCCTCAGTGAAGGCTCAGTGTCAGCTCCTGGTCTCTACATGTACATAATATACATATGTGTGTATTACATACATAAAAAAATCTTGGAAATGGGGAAAAAAATCAAAGGGTGGCCACGAGAGGTATGACTCAGATGAACATTTAATAAGGGACATTTGGGCAAGGCAAAAGAGGGATAATGAAGAGGGCAGTGAGTTTAGGGGAAAGCCAGGAACATCAGCAGGTGTGACCACGAAGGGGGAGGCGGGAGGAAAGTAGCATCAGACCAGAGACCACGACCTGGGCAGAGACCACGACCTGGGCAGAGACCACATTTAAACACAGTCAAGTAAACGTCCCAGAAATAAGAACTAAAAGACTTGCTTACACGGTCAAAAATGCACCATTTGCATAGGAAAGTTAGGCTAGAATACCTTACCTAGTAAAAGACCTAGATTTCAAAGAGAGAGAGAGAGAGAGAGAGAGAGAGAGAGAGAGAGAGAAAGAGAGAGTGAGAGAGAGAGAGAGAGAGAGAATATCATCTAGGCCACATGACCATGTAACTTGCAAAGAAGGTGAAACTTGGGTCATCTGTATGGCTCAGCAGGTAAAGGCACTGACCAACAACCAGATGCTGTGTTCTAACTCCAGGACTCAGACAGTCAAGGAGAGAACAAGTTGTCCTCTGACTTTCACAGAATCAAGTGTAACCTTTTGCAAGACAGGGTTTCTCTGTAGCTTTGGAGCCTGTCCTGGAACTCGTCCTATAGACCAGGCTGGCCTTGAAGTCACAGAGATCCACCTCTGCCTCTCAGAGTGCTGGGATAAAAGGCTTGCACCACCACCTCCTGCTCAAAACAACATCTTAAAGGAACCATAAAGTCCAGAGCTGAGAGCGCAGCATTTGTATGTGAACACAAGGGAAATAGGAATAACTAATGCAAACAGGACACCTCTCCGCTAAGGTGAGAATTCTCCTCTGAGAAGACTCTAGGCTCTGGAAGAGCTCTCTCCCCGATTTCCAGAGTTCCCAGAGCAGTGTGAGGCAAAGACAGCACCTAGGGCAAGGAGCTGGGTTTGCCAGGTGGGACTGATTGGTGGAACCTGACCTGGGAACTGGGTGAGGACAGGGAGTTGGGGAGGATATGCACAGGGGCAGAGGTGGAGAAGGTAGGCAGGACCCCATCAGATAAAGGCTTGCTGGATCTTGGAGGGAGTAAGAGATTCAAGCAGAAGAGGGGCAAAGGGGATTTCTAGTCTGGAAAGGGGAGAAAGCAGAGTCTATCTTTGAGCAGATGCTATACTATTGAAAAGTGCGGGGTGACTTGTGCCAGGTCACGAATGAATGGTGGGTGCTGTAGACTGAGGATATGGGATTTTGGGGAGAGGAGGGACATGAAAAGTACCAAGAACCCTGGTCTATCCCCAGACCTGGGGGTTCAGGGGTATGGGAGAAGAGGCAGGTCCACCTGAGAGGGCAGGGGGCTCAGCAGGAAGACGAGAATGAAGAGCAGGGAAGCTTTGTGATCGGCAGGGGTCCTGCCAGGAGCACTGGGGAGTTAGGGACCCCTTAGCATGGGTAGAGGAGGGTGGGACAGACATTTCTGAGGAACACTTATGGGAGACAAACCTAAATGAACAGGGGTGCTGACCCCCTCCCTACACCAAGCACTCTGGGTTCCCGTGGACTGTGATGGACAGACAGGAGGGCCGAAGCTGTGACCCCGGCTTGAGAAAGAATGAAGGGTAGGTAATGGAGTCAATGAGGAGGGTAGGGCTAGGTACCTGTCCAGGGGAGTGGACAAGTCCAGGAAGGCAGCCACCAGCTCTGGGATGTGGTTCCGGGCCAGGAGGGTGATGACACGCAGGGCATTGTTCTTGGCTTGGGGCAGTTGGATGGCACAGAGGTGGTGGTGGATGGCCTGGCCCATTTTACCCACCTGTTCGGGGAGTAGTAGGAGGGGTCTGATGGGGAGAGCCCACCTGCTCTGCACACCTGGCCTGAAGGAAGGTCCCAGTAGGGCTGTCTGAGGCGTCTGGAGACGTTGGCATCAGCTGTCTCCTGCTGGGGCACTGTTCTCACTCTGTAGGGTTCATCACTCTCTCTCTACTGGGCCATTCTGCCCACCTCTGTCTGTATATTGTCATTCATCAGATCACAAGCTCTACAAGTTCTGGTACGTTTTTCCCCCATGTCACCTCATTCCTCTATGGTCCGTAGCTATACTTGATCAATGTATATTTACCCCATGACCCTGCAATTGTCACCAGGACCACAAAGGCTCCCTTAGGTTACCCCTGTGTCCACCTGTCCATATATTTATTCATCCATCCATCCATCCATCCATCCATCCATCCATCCATCCATCCAATCTATCCATCCATCCATCCATCATCCATCCATCCATCCATCCATCCATCCATCCATCCATCCATCCATCCATCCATCCATCCATCCATCCACTAATTGGGTTGTTTGTTGCCTGCGTGGGATCCCAGTCTTCTTCATCCTATTTTAGAGAAAGTTCCTAGATGCTGCCTGTGGCCTAGTCCTCAACTCTTCCCCTCTCCTCCCTGACCCTGGGTGAGGCCCCAACCCCTCACAGTTGCCAGGTTGTCCCCATGCTCCTGGACGACAAGGAAAAGCATATTGGCAGATGCCTGCACCCAGGAAGAGCTGGTAGAGCCCAAACCATCGATGGTTGTCCAGATGAGGTCAGTCAGCTCTGCCATTTCAAGATGACCCGTGATCTCCTGTGAGAGTGGAGAGCCTGTTAGCTTATCAGACCAAACCCTGTGCCTGTTCCCTTTAACCCTTCTCCTTTGTCAGACTCCCCAAATCTCTAGGCACCCACTCCTCTAGGCTCTCTATGTGGGCCCAGTACACAATCTCTTCCACATCTCTCTGCCCTAGTCAATGCCTGGGGACAGGAAGGAAGGGTTTGGTGTCTAGCACTGGGCAGGCATAGGACTCTTTGTTGCCAGCAAACATTGGCTTGTTCTTAGATTCAGGTGGTGAGTATAAGTTTCTATGTTTTTCCCCTCCTTACTGCCCTGGAGGATAAAGCTGGGCTAGATCACACACAGACAGAACCTTCTGGAAAGACTGGCTGTTCACTATAATATCCCTGCCACTCATTAGTTTAGATCCACGATATACTTAAATCTATCAATATTTAATCTAGTAAAACTAAAACTTCAGTTCTTCGGCAGCCTTAGGATCATGCCAGGAGCTCAACAGCTACATGGGGCCAGCGGCTTCTTTGATCTGCACAGATGTAGACTGCACTCAACCTCACAGAAAGTTCAAATTAGAATAGTGATGAGATACTCAGAGCCCAGAGTACTACAGGAGAGAGAGACTCCTGTGAAGTTGAGCGTTAATCAAGGCCACGAGTAAGCGTTGAGATGGTGGGTTGACTGTGGTGATGGTGAGGGTGAGGATAACGGTGATGGTGATTACGGCAGGTGTGGGAGGGGGTGATGGAGGTGGCAATGATAGTGATGGTGGGGGTGGTGACCATGGTGGTAATGATGATGGGAATGATGGTGATGATGGGGTATTAGTGATAATAATGGGAGCAGTGATAGCGAATGTTGGTGGGGATGGTGAAGTTGGAGGTATTAGTGATGACGGCGGTGAGGTTAGGGGTGGGGCGATGGCAGGATGATGATGGCGGTGGTGACGAGGGTATTAGTGATGATGGTGATACCCGGTGGTAAAGATGAAGAGGAAGGTGATAAATGTATAGTGCACACCAGGACCACATGAGGAGTCCTGTACAGACTTGGGAGGGGAATTGAGGCCCAGAATATCTGCTCTCCTTTGGAATTTTCCAAGGGCTCCATCTCGAAGTCAGCAGATCCTCCCATTCCTACTCCTCTGCTTGTATCCATCTGTGCCTCCCCCATGGACGGAGAGCAGGTTGCCTCTCTCCAGGCACTGGACTCTAAGCTACCCGGTGGCTCCCCTTTCTTCTGAAACTTTCTGGGTTGGCAGCCTGTGGAGCTCATCCCTCCTTGTCTTACTTCTGCCCCCTCCCCAGGTTCTCTGATGCAAACTACAGCTAACTGAGATTTTATTCATTTTAGGCAGGCCCATGGAGGTACTGGTGCCAAGGACTGAGAGAGTCTGTATTAAACCTCTAAGGGGCCTAATACTCAGACAGCTCACTGTAGCTGCTGTGTTCTGGAGTCCATGGGATCAGACAAAGTCTTGCTGGGGCACTCACTAGCCATGTACCCCACTTTTCCATCATCTGTTATGTAGGATATCATGGCTGCTTACTAAAGGTTGGTTCAACTACCAGGCCCCACATGGACCCTGTTGAGAAGTGGAAGGCTAGGTCTCACAAGGACCGGCAAGTATGTCAATCACAGGGGTCATTCTTAGCCAAAGTTCAACCCAACCTGAGCAAGCAAGAGCTCACACTTCACAGACTTCCTGAACTCCCAGCTCGATGCCACTTTAGTGTGGGTCACCCAGCTAATGGAGGTACCTAGCTCACAGCCTCAGGTAGTGGCTTCTGAGGATTACACAGTTCAAACCTTGGTGTGACAGGGTGGGAGAGTGGTAAATGGGAAAACAACCTAGAGAAGGTTGGAAAAACTTGAGAAAGGGGGTTTGAGAAAACCTACGAAGGCTCCTGTCTAAGGTACACATGGCCTAGTATGTCCTGGTGTCCGTCCACCCTGCCTGGTCCCCCCCTCAACAACTTAGAAAAGAATGTGTTTATCACCACTCACAGATGTGGCAGTCTTCTCTGGCTATGCATTCATCCACCCACTCATCCATCCACCCATCCATCCATCCATCCATCCACCCATCCATCCATCCATCCATCCATCCATCCATCCATCCATCTACCCACCCACCCATCATCCATCCATCCATCCATCCATCCATCCATCCATCCATCCATCCATCCATCTGTCATCCATCCAGAAAGATTAAAAGGCTTTGACCTTTATAACTTGGTTGCTGCCCATGAAGAAGATGCTGTCATTTTTGGATGCCATATCCTGGGGGATCAGAAGAGTGTCCTTCTGGTCTCCACTGCTCCAGAGGGCAGCTCCAATGGCATCAGGCTGAGAGAGTTCTAGAGGGGTCTCCCTCTCCATCTCTGGAACTTCTCCTGCTGGTCAGGGCAGGCAGGGAGGAGGGCATGGTAGAGTGGGTTGGGGTTTATGTGGGACAGAACAGGAATCAGGTTGGGTGCATTAGTGACTGGCGGCAGGTCCACGTGTATTTGTGTTTGGGGGTTTGTTACTAGAAGGTTATGGCTGAAGTCAAGGTTGGACTGAGGGTGGACTTGGGGAAAGGTGGCGTTCAGGAGAGCTGGAATAGGCCCACCCAGGCTGAGGTAGGGAGGGGCTAGGTGGGCTGTGGCGCTGAGAACACTCACCTTTATGGTATATCAGAAGCTGATAGAGATGGCCCATGGCTTCTAAACTGAAGCACTGGATGGTTTTGTCTGCGTCCTGGCACAGGATCCCCAGCATGGCCACCAGCTGCCCCAGCCTTCTGAAGGGTTCCTTGATCTACGTAGGGAGCACAGTTTGATGGTGCCTACCTACAGCATCCTATGGCTACTCATGCATCCAGAATGGCCCCCACCAGAGGATCCCTTGAATTGCGTAGCAGGACCGGGGTTAGGAAAAATATAAGGACTTGATTCCAAAACTTGGTAATCAAGAAAAAAGAATGGGGGTTATATAATAAAAAACAATGAAAAACGAAAACAAACCCTCACAAACAAACAAACAGCAACAACAACAAAAACCCCAGAAAACTCCTGGAGGAACAGAGTGTTGAGGTCTTAGGAAAGGATCCAGCTGTGACCTCGTGGGACACTATCTGGCTCTCTTCCTGCCAGCTCTCTCTTGGTTTATCCAGACAGGGTTTCTTGTGTAGCCCTGGCTGTCCTGGAGCTCTCTCTGTAGACCAGGCTGGCCTCGAACTCACAGAGCTCTGCCTGCCTCTTCCTTCTGAGTGCTGGGATTAAATGTGTGTGCCAACACCGCCTGGCTCTCTGGCTTCTCTTATCCTGATCTCAATTCTGGAGTCAATAAAACTATTTACAATACACATAGACACCCTGTGGACCATAGTTACATTTTTAAAAAAGATTTATCTTCCTTGCATGTTTTATGTGCATGAGTGTTTTGCCTGCTGTGTATGGCACTGGCAGAGGCCAGAAGAGGGTGACCCCATGGAACTGGAGTTATGGAGGACTGCAAGTCACCAGTGGATGCCAGGAACTCTGTTTTTGACTGCTGAGCCCTTTCCCCAGACCTGACCACATTAAAATGTGATTTATCTTCATTATGGAGTGGAGTTTTTTTGGCTCAATCCCAGAAAATTAATTTTTTAAAAGATTTGTTTATTTATTATGTATACAACATTCTGCCTCCATGTATGCCTGCAGGCCAGAAGAGGGCACCAGATCTCGTTACAGATGGTTGTGAGCCACCATGTGGTTGCTGGGAATTGAACTCAGGACCTCTGGAAGAGCAGCCGGTGCTCTTAACCTCTGAGCCATCTCTCCAGCCCGAAAATTATTTTTTAAAAAAGTTATTTATGTCATTAAAAATAAAAGAACCACCACAAAAAGGGATATCTTTTAGACTCCCTCATCATGGAGCTCAGTCAGATAGCAGGAAGTTCAGGGGCCACCCTGGCCTGGTGGCAGGCACGGAGGTGTTCCTTTGGACAGGAGGCCCCACCCTTGAAGTTGTATGATTAAGGAGTGGAGAAGGCGAGGAGCTGGGGAGAGAGGAGCTGGGGAGGCGAGGAGCTGGGGAGAGAGGAGCTGGGGAGAGAGGAGCTGGGAAGAGAGGAGCTGGGGAGATGGCGCTTACGTCTAGGCAGCGTTTATAGTTCAGGAATTTGAAGAGGATTGTGCATCTGTGCACAGCCCGTTGTCGCTCGTGAGCCTTCTCTGACGCCAGCCAGACATACAGGTGCTGCAGGGTGGGTGTAGTCAAACGTCGTGCCAGACGCCCAGAGACGGCCCTCCATGCCCACTCCTCAGCAAGGCTCCTTGGCTTTCACCACTTTCAGGCCCAGCTTTTCTTGTTCCCTTGTCAGTCCCTGTCTCTAGAGCTGCCCTTCACGACTGGCCACTTCCTGGGCAGCGGAAACATTCCCTCCCCTGGAAGCTCTCAGCCTGCTGTGTTACGGATGCCCCTTCCTAGAACCTTCTGCTGTGGGGCACAAGCAGGGATGCAGTTGCCTCTGGCAGAGGGTGGGTACTGATTTCAGACCCCTGCATGGCTGAGGGGCTGTGTGGTCAGCTGATCTAGACGCAGGATGTTTGGAGATAGAGCGACCCAGGAATGGGTGAGGAAACCATGGTGGCTTCCGCTGGTAGAAGCCTTGGCTGCTTAGGCACATTCCTAGATTGTCATGCTCTCTCGGGGGTTCCTTCACCTGTGTTCTCCCTCCTGACTTCCACCTGTTCACCACAGGGCTTGGTGATCCTGCTTTTGCTCTTAGCTTCTTGCGTGGCTGAGCCTCACCATAACCCCTCACCCTCCAGGCTCTAGCGGGCAGAGTTACCTCTACTCTGACCTACTGAGCTGGCTCCTGCCTCTCCTTGGCTCCAGGCTCCTCTTGTGGGTCCTTCTCCTCTCATGGATGGCTAAAGTTTTTTTATTCAGGGCTCCTTAGGAACTCCCGTTGGCCCTGACCTCTGGCCTGATGGACCTGGCCTATCCACTGGATCTAGGACCTGCTACTAGGCCTTCCTATCTGCTGAGTGGTCTCCCTACCAAGGACATCTAGGGGGCAGATGAGAGGGTTTGTGGGATCCATGCCCTTGGGGGACACTGTGGTATGGGCACAGGTGGTAGGAGAAGCCACTTCAACAGATCCTTTTCAGCCTAGGCTGACTGATGCTTCCTTGTCCCCTCCAGATGCTCTAAACCTCTAGGCATAGGAAGCCTGCTGGCCAGGTCTTGCATCCTGTGGAGGGCCCTCTCTGGGACTCTCAGGCCAGAGCTGAGTATCCCTGCCCTGCCCACCCCCCAGCTATCAGCAGCCCTCACCGACAACAGGAAGTACAGCTCATTGGCTGTGGGGTTCTGCATCATGAAGCACCGTAGCATGTGGTCCATCGCCTCCATGGTCTGGTTGTACAGTCCCTGTGGAAGGGAGGAGGTCAGCTAGGTCCCGTAGGGATGAGGGCCAAGGCCACTGCAATATCCAGCGGCACCCACTTTCTGCATGTCCAAAGACCAGATTCCCGCAGATGACAGAGTTCATTACCGTATCTGCGAGGGGACTTGCCACACAGGCATGGAGACAGGCCAGGGAGGCCTTGGGAACCAACCCAAGTGAATTTACCCAAGGGAAAACTCAGTCCCAGCAGGGCTGCCTCCATAGACATGTAGACACGTGACCAGGCCTGCCTTGTCCTAGGACCCCAGGGAAAAAGGGAAACAGTTACTGGAAGTAACACACTGTATTTTTCTTCCTGAAAATCTTAGTAAATTTTAATTTCACTATTTATTTTGCATGTGTGCATGTGTGTGCATGCATGCATACTGCAGCATGTGTGTGGAGAGCAGAGGATAACTTTCAGTCACGTGTCCTCTCTTTACTATGGATTCTAGGATCCAACCCAGGTCCTTGGACTTGAGTGGCAAGTGCTTTTGCACACCAACGTCTCATTGGTCCTCTTAAAAGTTCCCCTCCCCCAAAACAGGGTTTCTCTGTGTAGCAGTCCTGGCTGTCCTGGAAGACCAGGCTGGCCTTGAACTCACTGAGATCTGCCTGTCTTTCCAGCCCTTTCAAAAGTTTTTTTTTTTTTTTTTTTTTTTTTTTTTGGCATGGATATCTACCTTTTCCTGGTCCTGCAAGCTATAAAGCTGATGGGATTTCTGAGGCTCATGTAAGGGCCCTCAACAATGTTGCTGGCATGTTCAGGGATGTGTGTGTGTGTGTGTGTGTGTGTGTGTGTGTGTGTGTGATAGAAATGCCCTGACAGACTCTCATGAGGCCATTAGGAGCTCTGGCCATTTGCTATTTGGTGACCTGGATGGCTTCATTTCTGAGGCCAGTGTTCCTCCACAGGGGTGACAGGCAGCCGGTCCCATGTGACAGGGAAGGAGACTGAGGGAGCCTGAATCAATGCTACTGACTCCCAGGACTGACACTCAGTCCTTGGCGGCATTTTCTGCAGGGTCAAGTGATGGAGGAGGGTTATCTGTCTATTGTGTTATTTTCATTGGTCAATAAAGAGACTGCCTTGGCCCTTTGATAGGACAGAAAATTAGGTAGGCGGAGTAAACAGAATAGAATGCTGGGAAGACGGCAATGAGCCAGACGCCATGGAGCCAGCCACCAGGTCAGACATGCTAAATCTTTTCTGGTAAGCCACTACCTCGTGGTGCTACCACGAGATTATTAGAAATGGGTTAATATCAAGATATGAGAGTTAGTCAGTAACTAACTCTCTAGAGATAATGGGCCAGGCAGTGTTTAAATGAATATAACTTGTGTGTTATTATTTCTGGGACTAAGCTAGCCGTGCGGGAGCTGGGCAGGACGAAAAGCAGGCCTGTCCGCAGCCCCTTCACTACAGATGGCGCCCACGTGGATAACTGAATCCACAGAAAGCCTAAAAAGTTTGGGAAAGAATAGAGTAAAGCATGTTTTCTTGGTGGCAGCAATTTCTCGGGTCTGTTCTGCTTGCTAGAGGCAAGCAATGCTCTCATTTAAGAGAGGCTTCCTGACTCAGCTTTAGCTGCAAAACTTTGTAGCTCATTAAGAGGTCCTGCTGCGAAACACTTAAATGGTATTGATGAAAAGCTGAACGCATGCTTTTCGGTTTTCAGTCGTAGCAGGAAAAACGCTGCGCTGTTTTAAAATGCCGTCTTTCTGGGCCGTCCTGCCAGGGCAAACTCTGACTCTTTCAGGCAGGCAGTCCGACTGAGTGTAGTCTGTGAGCAGAATGCTCCAGCTTGTTTGCTGGCAGGGACCTTGAAACGCCATAGAGTTGTGGCAGTAAAAGGCTCCAATGGTACCTCTAATATGAGTCTGGAAAGCTAAAAAATGGACTGGGTCTAACCGTCAAAGCCACGGTTTTAAACTCATGTGGTCATAAAAAAGAGAGAGAGATACAGTAAAGAGAGGTTCAAAGACAAAGAAAACCTCTAAATGGTTTACTATGTGTTAAAAATATATGCAGGCTAAAGGTTAAAGTTCTTAGGGTAAAAGAGGAAGAAAGAAAGTAGTTGGATGTGGTGGTACACACCTTTAATCCCAACACTTGGGAAGCAGAGGTAGATTGACCTCTGTGACCTCAAGGTGTGGTAGTACACACCTTTAATCCCAATGCCTGGGAGGCAGAGACAGAAGGATCTCTGAGTTCAAGGTGTGGTAGCACATGCCTTTAATCCCAGCACTGGGGAGCAGAGACAGACAGATCTCTGTGAGTTCAAGGACAGACTGGTCTACAGAGTTATTCCAGGACAAAGATATACAGAGAACCTATGTCAAAAAGTAAAAGTAAAAATAAAAAAAATAGAGGTTAAAAATAAAGCTGCATAAAGATGGAAAATACACAGAAAATCTTGATACTGTATGCTATTATGCTCTCTTTAAATTGTTTGAATGCTGAGGAAGGAGCAACAGCTGATAAAAGACTTTTGTTTATAAATGCTGCTGAACTAATCCAAGATAGATATTTTGAAAATACCTTGACTTCAGAATTTGTATCTAAGAATATGATACTTTGGAAAGGAGGTTCTTCTTTTGTTTTCACAGAGGATGAGACCCTGTGGATTGCTTCTATCCCAATATGGTATGATAGACCACGCCCTCCTGAAAGGTTTCTGTAAACACCCTCAAAAAATTACTTCACTCAACTGCTGACTGAGATAAACCTGGATGACAGTTTATACCATGAAAGACCTGATTAACTGCGTCCCTATACAGCAGGAAGAAGTTTGGAGAGAAATAACTACGTCCATATTCCCAACTATTGCTTATAAATGTTCTTTTACAATTAAAGGGGGATATGATATAGATATGAATAATTTGCATTGCATGGATTTTAAGGTCAATTTTGTTATATGTATATATATTTCTGATCTTGATTGAGGTATTGTGATTGTGTAGTTCATTTAAAAATGTAATGTATAATTAAAAATATAGGTTGTTAATGGATAATCATTGATAATAGTCAAGTTTGTAGTAATATTAGTTTGATTTTCTAAATGTGCATAGATATATTTCAGATATGCATTCTTCATATCGTTCAAAGACTACAGAACATGGCATTTAACGTTTTAATAACTTAGGGCTTTTCATGACAATGAGACACGTCTGCTCCTGGCAGCACCAATCTACTTCAAGAGGAAGATGGGCATCGAAGAGGCTCCTTATGGAGTTTGATAGCCATTTTGGACAAGAAACTGCGCTTGCCTGGACTGTTGTATAAACTGGACACAGAACCTGCAGAGAGAGGACTGCTGAACTTGCCTAAAGGTGAGATGATCTTTCGGGGTTCTTGATTCATGAAAGAGTCTACGAGACATTCTGCAGGACACAGCAGATAGTGACTGAACTGCCTTTGAAATTTCCTGCTTCATAAAAATGTCTGCTGGATATTATGGGCCTAAAGGCCAAAAATGAATGCCCCAACGATACAGAGGAACTTTGGGTGACTGTCCAGGCAGCGAGATGTCTCTGTCATTTCTAGAGTTTTGGAAGTTGCTTACTTCTTGTTTACTTAGGTAATATATCCTTCTGGAGTCTTTGATGGAGTTGAAGAATGGATAGTCATAGTTATAGTTCCATTATTATGATAAAGATATAGTTATAAATATTGTGACTGTAATTCTTGCTTGATAACTGTTTTGTTATGTGTAATTTTACTATGTTAAAATGAAAGCCTTTCTTTTTTGTTTAAACAGAAAAAGGGGAAATGATGGAGGAGGGTTATCTGTCTATTGTGTTATTTTCATTGGTCAAT